ACATAACAAGCCTTCCTGGAGACATGCAAGATGCCATGTGGACAATGGCGTGGGCCTGTAACGACTGAGTCATGTAGGGGCATGTGACTTGCCCAGGTGACTCCAAAACTCCATCTTGGAGCTGGACTTTGCATAGGAGGGGGGTCCCAACCCACAAGAGTCTATTTAACCCCGTGGGAGACCCTTCCATTTGGTCTTCAGCTGGCTAAAAAGGGGCCTCTCCACCCCCCCCAGGATACTTGAAGGAGACTGAAACAAAGGACAGTAACTACAGGGGGTGTGAGTGATTGCTGGACCCAGGCTAAAAGGAGATTAGCCTGTAAAAGGGAGTGCTCTGGAACTGGTGAGGAAATTATCTGTATTTAGTTTGATTAGACATAGATTTGCGCATTTTATTTTATTTTGCTTGGTGACTTACTTTGTTCTGTCTGTTACTACTTGGAACCACTTAAATCCTATTTTCTGTATTTAATAAAATCACTTTTTATTTAGTAATTTACTCGGAGTATATATTAATACCTGAGGGAGCAAACAACTGTGCATATCTCTCTATCAGTGTTATAGAGGGCGGACAATTTATGAGTTTGCCCTGCATAAGCTTTATGCAGGGTAAAACAGATTTATTTGGGTTTAGACCCCATTGGGAGTTGGGCATCTGAGTGCTAAAGACAAGCACACTACTGTGAGCTGTTTTCAAGTAAACCTGCAGCTTTGGGACAAGTGATTCGGACCCTGGATCTGTGTTAGAGCCAGACAGGAGTGGCTGGCTCAGCAAGACAGGGGCTGGAGTCCTGAGCTGGCAGGGAAAACAGAAGCAGGGGTAGTCTTTGCACATCGGGTGGCAGCTCCCAAGGGGGTTTCTGTGATCCAACCCGTCACAGGGTGATCAGCTGTTTTGGCAGGGCCGGGAGCCACTGATCAGCTGTTTCCAGCAGCATGGCCAAAACAGCTATTTCTGGCTGTGCTGATCAGCTGTTTTGGCCGCCAGCCAATCAGCTGTTTCATTGATCAGGACCCTGCTCCTGATCCCACCACTCAGCACTGGTGCTGCCCCGCGTCCTCCTCCTACCTGCTTCTTGTGGGCAGGCATGTTTTGTTATGGCTCTGCAGTTCCCAGCCTGGCTTCGACCTCACCCAACTAAAGGCAGCAGCAGCAGCAGCCGGTAAGTGTATTTCAAAGAAGAGGGGTTCTACACGGGTGCGGGTGGGGGTGGAGGTAGGGTGACCAGACGTCCCGATTTTATCAGGACTGTCCCAATATTTGCTTGTTTGTCCCAAATCCTGACCGATGTTAGGTCGGGATGCGGGACAAACAAGCAATTTTGTCCTCTGCTCCGGCGCACAGGTGGAGCCCAGAGGGGCTCGCACCCCCCCCCCACCCCGACTCCGCCCCTTCCTTCCCCCATTGGATCCCTCCCCAAATCCCTGCCCTGGCCCCGTCTCTTCCCCAGCATGCCTCATTCCTCCTCCCTCCCAGGCTTGCGCTGATCAGCTGTACGGTAGCGCAAGCGCTGGAGGGAGGGGGTGACACCAGCATGCGTGGCGCGGCCATGAAATAGGTAGGACCAGGGCAGGGATTTAGGACAAAATTGCTTGTTTGTCCCGCATCCCGACCTAACATCGGTCAGGATTTGGGACAAACAAGCAATTTTGTCCTCTGCCCCGGCCCCCAGGTGGAGCCCAGGGGGGCCCGCCCCCCCCCCCCCCCCACCCCGACTCCGCCCCTTCCTTCCCCCATTGGATCCCTCCCCAAATCCCTCCCCAGGCCCCGTTTCTGCCCCAGCAGGCCTCGTTCTGGCT